GAAATGTCGATTGGATATTCAGGATATACTTAATTCTTGAGTATTGTATACGCCTCCTCGCCAGCAAAATGTAGAAAGTGTGTCGTGATTTTCTCATCTTCCACAACAGGTTTTGTGATTCACCATTTGTCCAACCGTTCTAAACAATCCTCTACGTCTCGCGCAACTGAATTAACATTTATTGATTACATTTCGGCAGGCATGATGAACTGTTTCAACCGCCACGCCAAACTACAGTATTGAAGTCCAGCACATATATCGGTATAACCAGACGAACTAGAAATCCAGAATTCAGCACAGCGTAACAAGTAGCCAGTAACAAGTATTCGAATTTACGTATATGTACAGCATCTGGGTTGTTAAAACAAGAGAATAAAGAATAGAGCAATGAACGGAATTCAATCACGTTCATCACACCAAATTAACCTATTGCTCCCCTGCCCAAGCTAACAAGCCAATCAGAGTCTAACTCTTCGTTTGCGTCCATTGCTGACTCTTGATTTACTGGCGTACCATACTCGTGATGGCGGACGATGCCGCTAGGAGGCTCCAGTTCGAGTACAAAGTTAATTCCAGCCTCGTTCTCCTAACTGATCGGTCCCTGATTGATCGTCGTCCTCGTGATGAATCGACTGGTGAGGTACTCAGTCTCGCTGGACGAATACGTGTGCAAGAAATGGGCCACAAGTCACAGCGAACAAAACCCCCAATGTTGCAGGAGAAACGAGCTAAGTAAGGACATTGTATTTTAATGCTGATATTCAGGCGACAAAAACGTGATGAAATTCAACAAGATGCGCTAAAACTTAAGAGTGCCAGTTTGCTTAATGACGAATTGGATGACATCGCGGGGGTCGTGTACCGCCCCAAAACGCCTGACACTCGCAAAACATACGAGTACATACTTCATTGCATCCAGGAAGCTCTGGGTGACCAATCTCGTGAGATACTGTGTGGTGCGGCTGACGAAGTTATTGCAACTTTTAAAAATTCGCATTTGAAGGACGGTGAGCGACGGAAGGAAACTGAATCTCTTTTAGGTTAGCAACACTTTCGTAATCTCCTATACTCGTAGGTCGACTGGCAGACGAACGTTATAATATCATTGTGAATTTGTGCAAGAAGATTACTGACTGGAAGGACGAGAACGCATCCACAGCGACGGGCGAAAACATTGATGAAACCTATGGTGTTAATGTGCAGTTTGAGGAGTCAGACCAAGAGGTATTTAATTATGTTGTCTTCTAAGTTTTGTTGTTGATTAAACCTGCACTGACCGCATTATGGAGTCGTTTGCCATGGAACACTACGTAGGCTCATGACCTATTCATAAGATAACGTCGGATCCTGCTGCTTTCAGAGAAGAAAAATCTTACAAAACTTCTGAGGTATATAGTTTATTTTCTTCCCAAGAAGATCCTGAGGACTACGGGGTCTAATAAGTGCCTGAGGCGGACAATACTAACGTCGGGCAGCAGGACTTTTTCTTATCTCATTTCACTAACCTAAGCCAAAATCCACCGTAGTTCTAATTACCTCAATGTAGGAAGTTCCTTGGACCATTCTTGAATAGAGCAGCTGCTGCAACTGAAGAAAGCGCTCACGCAGTGCGCACAGATATTCTTTAATTTAGATGAGAAATTACGGAATCTTATTTATATGGTACTTGGGCCACTAATCATGCTGTTAAATTGAAGCATCTGGAAACGTTTTTACCTTAACCACTGTTTCAGCTGTTGGACAAATCCTTAGCGATATCTAGCTACCCCCAGAATAAAAAACAGTAAAAAGAGTAGTAAAACCAATTAGAGAGAAGCTCGCGAGGATCCTGTGGTTACTGCCGGCGAGTCTCAAGTATACAGTCCACGAGACTGGATGCTAATCAAGAACGAGATTGACTGCATTTTTAAATGAACAACCAGTGGTCATCTGAAGAATACTTCCGTGAAACTTTGTGATGAATGGTGGAGAGTTATATCTAACTAGCCATGGGATAACCTACTAACTGATGTTTGATCATTCTGGTCCGTTTCAGAAACGCAGGTTATACAGCTCCAGACGGACTAACTCTGCTGACGCCGAAAATTAGTCTGCCATATGTAGACTTCCGTTAGGCGCTTGGTCTTGCACTAAGTTGCCATGTTATGGTACTATCCTCCAGAGTATATGGAAAACTAATTATACGGATCAAAGACTGATTATGCGCATACTTCGGTTTGTTGTTGCAGCATTGGATTGGCACGCGGGTCTGAACTGCTCTATCGGTTTGACTGAAAGCTTATTTCATTGCAGGTGACTTCACTCTGCGGTCGTCGGTAATGATATCGGAATTATTCAGCTGGATCTTGACTCCCTCCAGAACTGGTCTCCGCAACGACAACTGCAGATAGTTTGTTTCCAAACAGCCTGTGCGTATCACACCCGTAATTATTTCTTGAGAGAATTAACATGGGAGAAGGACCTACGAATTCTGGTGACAACAGTGTTGAATATTTTAGAAGTACCTAGAGCCAGACGGCAGCCGCTGTGCAGCTAATGCAGGTGACCTGAAAATCACTGAACCTGTAGTGGTTAGCGGCCCTATGGAGTCTCTAGTGAACAGAGCAAATTACTAATGTCAGCCAGATACAAAGTCACAAGGAAAAGGAATCCAAGTAAATCTTGACTCACAGTTCAAAATAGGAGATTCCGTAGTTTCGTATTCCGTTGAACCACCACACCAAGAATAGTTCTATCTTCCTGGTATTCCAGATCTCCGGTGATCGAAATATTAATCCACAAGTGTGAATATATTAGTCCAGTGTTTGTAGCTAAAATGTTTGTTGACGTTTAGTGTTAGCAGCGGTCAAATATAGCCAACCGGTGGTCATAACAACAGTCACTCAGCAAAAGTCTCAAAGTCACGTTGGAGCCAACGCGCGGGCGGTAGCGGTTGTATTTCAGTAAAACAAACTTTTGTACAGCGATGTGACTGGTAATGACAGGAGAAAAGAAGATGATACTGAGCATGAAAAAGAGCAGTTTACAAGTGCTACAGAACTCCCCCCCTAGAGCGTCAAATGGGTGAGCAAGACGCTCGAAAAGGAAATGCGTCACGACAGTTAGTCTTTGAAACGAACAGGAAGTTTGCATTGTCGACCAGATCTTGTGAGTGATGGTGTGTGTGTGGTATTGGTGGTGGCACTGGTCGA